ATAAAAAATGTCCCTGTAGCGATGAGGAGGAAATGAGATAAGGGGTCTGGTTCCCGAAAAAGATGCAGCCTTGTGGACAGTTCAGGCAGGGCTGTGCTAACGATCAACAGAAAATAAAGTTCTAGTTAATTTTGGGAAGCTTGGGGTATTTTTTATTGAAGGACAATTCCAACTTTGACTATTTTTCGGGTTCTGTCTATATTTATCGAAAGCATGGAACGCTAATTATTACGATAAACAATTTGAATGGCTGTAGCCTTAGGGGCCACGGCCATCCTGCGGGAGCAACAGCTATGGCGGTGTCACTGCTGCTCGATGCACCCCGTGCACGGCCGAGCACGCAGACATGGTCTGCTGGTGCACCTAACGGTTGACGAAGAAAGCAATGGCTGTCAGCGAGTGGATTAGAAATATGAATCCCTGATAGCTGCAGCTCAGCAATTCTGCACAGCACCTGAGGAAGCTGTGCTGCCTGGGATATTGAGAAAGTCTTCTGATGACCGGTTTGAAACTAGGAATAGGCAATGATGTCAGAATATGAGTAGGCTGTCACTAAAGTAATACTATTTCAATACTGGGAATTTTTTTATTTGTGTTATGTGGTAGGTTGCACAGAAAAGAAAAACACTGCCTGCTTAACAGAACTGCTTCGTTAATATAACACTTTTAGGGACTCATGGTTACCATACAGCAGAAACTAACGTGTCTCAGCGCGTGTCTTAGAAGGGATTATGCTCTCCGTGGGAGTTTGCCAACTGAGCTGATAGAGTAACGTTGGTTCTAGTCAACGTTACTCGATCAACTCAGTTGGCATACTCCCACGGAGAGCGTTATGACTTCTCGTACCCCTTCAGCAAAGCTAACACTGTTCGAAGCGCCAACCTTCTTGATCGCTAGGGCGTGTCTTGCAATAGCAGTTCAAAACATGGCTGCAGCGGGCAAGGATGACACTTCAAACAGCATTTTTGAATCTAGGGGGTTGCCAGCAGAAACTGATGTGTGTCAGCATGTGTCTTAGAAGGGATCACGCTCTCCGTGGGAGTTTGCCAACTGAGTTGATAGAGTAACATTGGTTCTAGTCAACGTTACTCAATCAACTCAGTTGGCATACTTCCACGGAGAGCGTTATCACTTCCCGTACCCCTTCAGCCGGGCTAACGCTGTTCGAAGCACCAACCTTTTTGATTGGTAGTGTGTCTTGCAATAGCAGTTCAAAACATGGCTGCAGCAGGAAAGGTGATGCTTCAAACAGCATTTTTGAATCTAGGGGGTTACCAGCAGAAACTGACATGTGTCTTAGAAGGAATCACGCTCTCCGTGGGAGTTTGCCAACCGAGTTGATAGAGCAACGTTGGTTCTAGTCAACGTTACTCAATCAACTCAGTTGGCGTACTCCCACGGAGAGCGTTATCACTTCTCGTACCCCTTCAGCCGGGTTAACGCTGTTCGAAGCGCCAACCTGCTTGATCGGTAGGGCGTGTCTTGCAATAGCAGTTCAAAACATGGCTGCAGCGGGCAAGGATGATGCTTCAAACAGCATTTTTGAATCTAGGGGGTTACCAGCAGAAACTGACATGTGTCAGCATGTCTTAGAAGGGATCACGCTCTCCGTGGGAGTTTGCCAACTGAGTTTATAAAGTAACGTTGGTTCTAAAAAAACGTTACTCGATCAACTCAGTTCGCAAACTCCCACGGAGAGCGTTATCCCTTCTCGTACCCCTTCAGCCGGGCTAACGCTGTTCGAAGCGCCAACTTTCTTGATCGCTAGGACGTGTCTTGCAATAGCAGTTCAAAACATGGCTGCAGCGGGCAAGGATGACGCTTCAAACAGCATTTTTGAATCTAGGGGGTTATCAGAGAAACTGAGGTGTGTCAGCATGTGTCTTAGAAGGGATCACACTCTTTGTGGGAGTTTCCCAGCTGAGTTGATAGAGTAACGTTGGTCCTAGTGAACGTTACTTGATCAACTCAGTTGGCAAACTCCCAAAAAGAGCATGATCCCTTCTCGTCCCACTCAGCCGAGCTAATGCTGTTCGAAACGCCAACCTTCTTGCTCGCTGCAGCGCGTCTTGCAACAGCAGTTCAAAACACGGCCGCAGCGGGCTAGAAGGATGACGCTTCAAACAGCATTTCTGAATCTAGGGATTATCAGCGGAAACTGACGTGTCAGCGCATCTCAGAAGGGATCACGCTCTTTGTGGGAGTTTGCCAACTGAGTTGATCGAGTAACATTGCCGCGTACTGCAGCACCACATTGATGTCATGTCGTAGCCATACAGCCAATGATCAGCATTGCATTCCTCTAGCAGATAGTTTGTTTTGCTGAAGAGGCCCGAAACTAAACTTTGAGCCGCGATATTTATAAAACTACACGAAATAACAGGAAAAAAAAATTACACCTCGTAATTCAGAAACACTGCTTTAAGTGAAAGCAGTCCTAATCCAAAATTAAGTATTATTGACTGGAGTTGCCCTTTAACCTATTGCGGTCATGCGAGTTTTCCTTTTGTAGGATTTCACCGAGATTTAATTTAAGCGAAAAAAGATCAAGTCAATGAGTGATCTGAAATTCAACTCTTTAATATACTACAATCAATATGTTCCATTTGAAATATCTGCATTGTGCTGAATGTTTTCATTTGAATTATTGAACTATACTAGTGTTAAATGCACAGTGTATGATACTTTTCAAAGTAAATGCCGGGGTGCAAGCCATGGTGTCAAGTGCAGGTTTTACAGTAGAAAACATTTCATGTCTTTGCCTTTTGACTTTCCTGTCACTGCAGCTGCCGTCTCTAGACTGCACAGTCCGTAAAATGTGGACGGAGTAAATGCTGCCATCTTGAACACCCAAAAGTGTGTGCAAAATGCCCGTCTGCACATCTAGCAGAAACGAATGTGTCGCGCCTCTTACGGCATTTGTTGGGGGAACAATATAATTAAGTATGACTAGTTTACATACCCTACAAGAGATGGCGCAAGTTGAAATTGTCGGGAGGCGCCTGACGCTTGACCGCAAAGGAGAACGGGAATATTTATTTGTCGAGAGATACCTGACAGATGACCCCAAAGGGTTAAACATCCTACAACAAAGCAAGCATTCAGTGAAATAAGTTTTACTCGGTACACTGTTGTATGATGGAATGGTGTATGAAAATGGAAAAAGTGCGCAAGTGGCCACATGCCACTTTTTTGCATACAGCAAAAGTGGAACACAAGGCTCAGACAAGATCTACAAGATCCAAGGTAGCCGCACAAAGGTTTGATGCATGTGCTCTTGTACATTTAAAAAAAAAAACATATATAGCAAAACAACTAAACTCATATTTCAAACCTGGTATGATAAACCACTTTAAAAAAAATTCTCATTGACAGATAAACTCATGCGACTTGTCTTTCAAAAAATAGTGTGGAAATATTTCTGCATGTGACCATTTCCATCTTGATTTTCAGGAGTGCCAACAACACAAGAAAAGACAAGCATCCTTTACCTACAATACATAGCTTACTCTACCTCACAACCAGTCTTCAGTGCCGGCAAAAGCAAGGGCATGAGAGAGCGACTTGGCAGAATTAGTTGTGTGCACGAGCACTCGCGCTTATAAAGCATCTTCAGAAACCACGTGCTTGCATCTGTGCCTTTGCTGAAAACGACTTGTGAGGTAGAGTATGCCAGTATCTTGTTCGGCGTGCCACTGAAAGCCTTGAGTGGGACGATGGCATTCAGATTCTGTTGCTCGTGGGATCGCACTGCGACAGCCGCTCAGTTTGTTCCATTTAACGGTAAAGCAGTGGGACCAAGGCTACAGACACATTCCTAGCCCTAAGAAGCCCCCTCACTCGAGTAGCTGAAGTGTTATCCGAAGCAAGACATTTGTTCTAGCCCTGGCCCTAATACTGCTGCACGCTGAATCAAAGTATTTGGAACTCCAGCTCAGCTTCCAAACTACCTTCACATAGTCTCCGAGTGTTTTCGCTATTCAGTCCACACATTAAAGGGGCCCTGCAATCATATTTAAGCGTCTACCTTTTTTGCGGTTTCCACGTCTCTTGGGGTCCGGGCAAGCCAGCGGGCACGGAGAGAGTAACTAAATATCAGTGCGTCATATTTTAACCGGACGACGCGGAAACCACCTCCACCGACGAGGGCGACCCGCGGTACCGAAAGCGCGCAAAATGTGACGTGTTTGGTCCTAGGCTTACTACTGGTCAGAGCCGCTAAAAGCTTTTTCGTAGTCGAAATACAAAATATAACTGGCGCGACACGTTTCAATTATTTATAAAAGAAGTTTTTGTTCAGTATTTTAGATCAGAAAAGAAACAAATGCAGTTTATAAAGTACGGAAACAAGAAAAGACCCGTCGACATACCCGCCACCAAGCGGCGGAAAAAACGGCGCATACTAGAAATAACTAGTGGGATGAGGTTTACGACGAACGGCCAGCGTAGAAAAGCCCCGGATGTACGCGGCGGCGCTGCGGTCGTACACCGGCTCAACGATCCGAGCGTTCCGAGGGCCTTCGGCGCGGGCCCTGCTGGCGATTTGGCCATTCGGCGGCATAGCAGCGCGAAGTGGCTCCCGTTCTGAACTGATCTTTACCCCGTCTTTGCTGTCGTTTGTGGCGAATGAAGTGTTATGCCGAAATAGTCTTTAATCGCGCAGCAAATGCAATGCCGAGCCGCCCCGGCCGCCCGCTTCATAGAGCCTATCCAACATATGCTTTAGTGGCGCCCTCTCGAGCCGTTGACCCGGAGTGCGGCAACCGTGAACGCTCGATGAGCTCACTACCCCTCCTCTAGTTCATGGCCACTCAAGCCAGGACCTACTACGTCATGAATGAGGTTATTTTTTGCTTGTTTTTGAAATTCTAATTCGCCTATAACTTTTAAAATAATGCGAAATTTGAGAAAAGAAAAGTTTTATTAAGTTACTACGTTCAGTGCACTCAGGTTCGGTGCAAAATAAAACCAGTCAAAAAGTCATTGCAGGGCCCCTTTAACACTAGTCTCAGCAAAACCTAGAATTCCAGGGAAAATAGCCGCAGCCAAAAAAGGGGTTCTATGAACACGCTCTGGAGCGTCCGACCAACAGCCAACAAGGTACACTGCCGAACGGGCTAGGCCAATACCACCTGGAAGATAAGGTCCGCGCCTTTCGCCACGTCATCTCTGCAGTCGACGACAGGAAGGTTCTTCCGTTGGCCCACCTCCAACATGAGCTTTTTAACTTCGATGACGCTTCTGCGTTTTGCGCACCTCGAGTGTGAGCCAAAGCAAGGCAAAAGGCAGTGAGAGACACCGTGATGAGACACCCTGATGTTCTCATCCTGCCGGCGACTATAGACGTTTTCTCTTCCCTGTCATTCTCAGTCGCGTAGGTTCCGTATCTGGTATGTGGTAAAAAATAAATAATAAAGCATTTCAACCTGGAATATGCGAGGAAATATAGGTGAGGCAAAACAAGAATGCGCGACAATCACACATTTTTCGTGAACACCTTCCAGCGGTGCAGAGAGATCAAAACAATGTTTTACTGCATACCAGAAGTGATGACATCCAAGATGGCTGCGCCCTTGCGAAAAAGGTGTATAGGAGGTGGCAATGTCGAGACGTGCGCACCTGCCGCTTTGCCACGCACTCCCGTCGAGGCCTGGCAGGTTTGCCACTCGGATTGAGGTTGTACTAATGGCGATGCACCGTGCAGGCCTTGTCTTTTATACTTCGTTTCAGCTTAAAGCACAACGTACAAAAAGGTTTTCCGCGAGCTAGGAAAATCCTTCTGGCCTCCTTCCCATTTTCCCCTTTAACAATGCTATCTTGACGCAGGGGAACTCGTTTTGTTGGGGCTGGATAAGCCGGGATCTTATCCGAGCTTATACAGCGCCAAGATGCAGCAACAAAAGGATTTTCCCACGGTCAAGATAGTAGTGGGAGAGGGGGAAACGGAAAGGGTGGCAAAGAGGATTTCCTACCTTCCAGGAAAACGTTTTGTGGGCCGGGCTTTTAGTGCAGACACAGCCAATGCTACGAGGTTAATGGGACCTATTGAGCGGCGTCGAAAGCACAAGTCGCTACGCCTTCTTTTTTTGCTTACGGCTGGTTCGGCCAGGATAAGACACATACAAAAAGACAGCATGACGGTGGGCTTTCGACGCCGTCCGATTGGTCTCATCAACTCGTAGCGTCAACAGCATCTCGACTCGGGGCGAAGTGGCTAGGCCAGCCTTTGGCAGTCGGGCGGCCAATCGGAACACGATGACTAGGAGAAAGGGCGGGCGTGCACAAGGCTGTGGGTGTCCAGGTTCCCCTTCTGGATGAAGGCCCGGCCGCAGTCCTGGCAGACGTAGGGGCAGTCCCCCGTGTGGGTGCGCTTGTGGCGCGTCAGGTGGGAGGAGTAGCCAAAGCGGCGGCCGCACGTGTCGCACTCGAAGGGTTTCTCGCCCATGTGGATGCGCTGGTGGGTGGTCAGGTTCATCTTGAGCGCAAACGCCTTGCCGCATACCTCGCACGGGAACGGCTTCTCCCCCGTGTGCGTGCGCTCGTGGTTCGTCACGCTCGTCGTCTTGTTGCTCGAGTACGAGCAGTAGCGGCACCTGCAAGCGGGGCCTGGCATCTCAGACTTTTCCACCTCAATCTAACGTTTATTTTTATTTATTTATGTTATCTCGAACATGCTGCCAGTGAGGCCGAGGCAAATCGGCAGACACATAAAAAGTAAAGGTGCACTCTTAAAGGGCAACTCCGGCTCATAGTTCTGATTCTGGGATTACGACTGTTTCTAGCGCAGTCAGCGTCCCTGAATTAAAATTTTTTCTCTGTATTGTGGGTAGTTTTAAAGATATTGATGCCTCAAAGTTTCCTTTGGGGCGTGGTAGAAAAAACCGAAACTAGCCGCTCAAGGTGACGGCAACACTGGAAATCAGCCGCTAAGCGGACATGAGGTCCATGGTCGTTCTCGTCCCTGCCTCGTTTCCGTGCAACGAGCATAAGGTCCAAGCGGCAGCTACCTCTGTTGCACTAGCTGTTCTTGGGCAGTAGTTACCAGTAATAAACTACTGGTAACTTGTTACTTTTTCAGTAACCTGTAAGCGGAACTCGTTACTGCTTAGTGAAAAAAACTTCTAACTGTAACAGAGTCACTATTTTTGGAAGTAAGTGTAAGAACTAATGTCGTTACAATTAGTTCTCAGATTTATGTGCAAAAATATTGCCCGACCACCAATCCATCTTGCAACTCGTGAGAGTCCCAGGTCCTGGTACGGAAAGGGCACAGCAAAATCTTTTGCAGAAAACGTCTGAGGTAGGAGGGAAAGGAATAAAAATATCAAGAAACTAAATTTTGGGTGACCCTGCTTGGCCAAGCTGGTATTGCCAACTGGGAGGATGGGGACACTTGAGTCCGCATCAGCCGTATATGGTACATTGCGCACAGTGCACGTAGATGTAACAAAGCGCGACATCTATAAAGCGTTTTTCTCTTCGTCCAATGGAGGGAGCGAATTCTTTTTGCAGAAGACAGCTTTTGGTGATTGTCGCCCCAAACGCCCGCAGGCCGACGGCACAACCGATTTTCCAAACCTCGTCCTCCCGCCACGCATATGTTTTCTTCCGCTCTCATTTGAATCGTCCGAATTCCAGATGCACTCTTGCCGGGTATTGACTTCAGGTCCATTTTCTCTCTTCTTTTTTTTTTTTGCAACCCAATTACTGGCTTTGCCTCCCTTCACCCACTTGTCCCTGCTCGGCTCCCGTCACTTGAGAAAGAGTATTCGCTCAAAACGTCTGTCGTTTTGCTTGTTTGTGTGTTTCCTTGAAATTGAAAGACCGCCCTTAGCCGGGACCAGGGGCGCTTCGCATCAGTTGATTTATAGATATTCACGTCGTGGGCTTTCCGGTTGGTTTCTTCTATTTTGGGTGGTAAGATGAGGAGCACAAATCTGTTCAATTTGGTAAGGAAGTGGCGGTGAAAAGATCGCATCAGCCGTTTGGAATTCTACACGCAGTGGTCGTTTGTACTTTGATCAGTGCTTATTTTGTCGGAGGAATGTTGCCACAGCATTGCTTTCCAAGTGTTTCATGAAAGATTGTGCGTGCAGTAGAAAACGATTCAACCAAGAGTGGATTGGAGTGGCATAAGGAAACATCTACAAAGCTGATTGCAAGGTATGACTTATGACGTATGACGATTTTTATTGCTTCCGTCCGATTTTGCCTCATCGAAGAAATTCGAGATTAGAATTGGCTGATTGTAGACTGGCACCATGATTGGGTACATACGAGATCAGGATGCCTGCTGTTGTGTTCGTGTATACCTTGTGGTGATCACACTTATTTTAAAGTTCTAAAAGTTTTAAAATTTTAAAGTTAAAGTTAAAGTTTAAAAAATTTGAAAAACTAAAGTCCCCTTGTCCAAAGAAGAGACTAAATTTTTTTATCATGTAGTGGATTGACTCGGATACTGCCTTAAATTATGATCTTGTTTAAAGGGAAGCTGAAACACTTCTTGAAAAAAACCAGTTAGAGGTGAATTCTGGCGTATTTTTATCCCGTGAATCTGAATATCACTTTTGTTTTCCCCGAAGATGCAACTAAAAGCGAGAAAAAGCGAAAAAACATTCGACCAGTCGTGACGTCATACTAGGATCTTCGGGCCTCCAAGCGCGTGTCGCTCGTGTGTTCAGCGCGTGCAACGGCAAGCTTGCCATGTATATTTCCCCGCACTGACACCAGTCGTGACGTCTCTCTGACCTTTCTGAAAATAGCAAGAGTGCGCGTGCATAGCTTTGACAGGCGCTGAAGATGCGCGAGAGCAGATATTCCGAACGCTCCTAGTGTGACGTCACGCCCCGGGAAGGAGGGGCTTCGGCGGTACTTTAAAAATTAATTTCTGAAGCCTCCGTGCACCAAATTGAAAAATAATCTTGATATTCCTGATCCTGGAGGTAGAATGAAGGCCATTGAAATGTTTTTTCTCAAATAGAGAACCGCTTCAGTTTCCCTTTAAGGAGCTATTCATGGTAAAAATTGAAATAGAAAGAACCAAACATGTTTTTTATTTTTTATTTTTATTTAGGTATACTGTTAACCCGTTAGGGTTGTTACAGGGGTGCACAAGGCACGAGAATACATATGACCAAATACAAAAAGAAACAAGGACACTGATTGATTATTAAAAAAATCTTAGTTTCTCAAAATAATCAGACTCACTACCATGAACAACACAATGTCTTATAAGAAATCTATGCCAATTTAAAGGCATATAAAGGAATGTTCCTTTTGACCGTTTTCTCATGTATCCTTTGTAAAGTAATGACAAAGTAACGGTGTTACTTTAGCAAAGTGGCTGTAACAAGTAACTCTTTCAGTTTTGTAACTGTAACTAACATGGTTACTTTTTTGCCTGAGTAACTGTAACACTGTTACATTTTAGCAGTAACAGGCCCATGACTACAGCTGGGCAGTCCTTCTGACACCACAATGCGTGCGAGTGCGCACCGAGTTGCTCGCTAAAACGAGCCTTGGAGTCCTCATAAGCAAATAAACAAAAGGCTATACCGAACCTACACAGGCTACAGATAAAAGCAACGGCTAAACACGCTAATCACCAGCCAAAGTATCGGCGGCAGCGGCTCAAAGAAGCGCACTTTACACTGCTCGAATGTGCAACGGGTACGCCCGTCTAGACCAGGGAAAAAAAAAAGAGAACGACCATGACGTCACGGCCCAACATTGCTTTAGCGATTAGTAACCCGCTGGCGGCCCGCTAAGAAGCAATGGATCGCATTTTAGTATCAGCATTAGTTAGGTATGCGGCGTCCCCCTGATGTAATAATTTGACTGGGGTCATATTTTGTGTCACTAAAGCAATACCAGTAATTTATTTCCTTTTGAGTTTTGGCCGGAGTTGCCATTTAAGAAGTATTACCAAGAGCAGACGCATTTGTGCTATTTGCGAAATTCCTCGATGGACAGTCTTATTCTTCGATGCATCTAACAAAAGAAAAGGGTTCCTAAAAGTCTGTGTTAAAGCAATGAGGCACGATGAATTTTCTGTGTTTCGTTTTAATTGCATTATCATAATTTGCCTATGGTATATATTTGTGAATATTAATGACCGTATAGCGGGCAACAAAATAATCTCATCCAAGTCAAGATCCCCCCAGCACTTATGGGCAAAAGGTCTGCATCGGACTTCATTTGGGAAACGATGGAGATTAAACATAAGCCAGGCAGCTTTACTTTGTATGCATATTATCTTGGAAATGATTTGTTGCGTGAATCTTCCGCAAACTCGGTTGCCCTGGATGGCAACCGAGGGGCCCCCGTCGATCTCGGTATTGATGCTATAAACCCGTGAAGGAACCTACAGACACTGTAAACAATAATGTGCACACTAGAAAGTGTCTGGTTCATAGCATCGAGTTTTTATTATAATAATCTAGAAGAAAAGGTCCCACGCGTTCAGGCCACTTTGGAACGTCGGTGCATAGCAGCAAAACATTGCCTGCAAGGTCTGTACTTAGCTCTTTTCTGGCTTACCTTGTGGGAAAACACTGAAATCACGCATTGTATAAAACTAATAAACGTTGACAAGCGCTCCTTGTCTTGGCGAGGCAAACACACCTAACTAACCTTTCGTCTGCTTTCTTCTCTTCTGTAGCTCTTTCTCCTTCTTTCTCTCTGGACCACCAACGTCGGTGCTCGGGATTTGCCGCGCTCTGCTCTCGTCTTTACTACCCCCCTGGCTCAAAGCCATGCATCAATGGATGGCTCAAAGCCATGCATCAATGGATGGCTCAAACCTCCTAAATGAACTGCAAAACTTCTTCACATAGTATTCGAGTCTGTTGCAGGATAAGAAAAGTGGGACAAGCCCCTCCCACAAAGCTCTCCGCTCGCCAAGATTGGTGGCTTCCTCCTTTCCAACGTCCGCTCTGCTAAAGTGGAGAGGGTGGAGGGCTTTCTGGGAGGAGCCTGTCGCGCTTTTCTTAACCTGCAACAGACCATAAGGATGGTCAAGAAAATTTGGGAGCTCTGGGAAACCCTGGGGGCACTCTGGGGAACCCCAGAGTTCCTGGGAACCTAACCCAGTTGGAGACCCTATGGCACGGGGCGTTAAAGACGGCAGTAGAGCGCGGCAAATCGAAACAGCAACATTGGGGGTCCTGAAAGAATGAATAAGAGAGCGCGAAAGGAGCGGGAAAAGAGAACAGACAATATGTTAGGTATGCTCGTTTTGCCACGCTGCACTGGAGTTGTGTGCCACATTTTCTAGCCAGTAAGTCGCATTGTCCGATAAGTTGTGACCCCCTCCCCCCAATAAAGCCATTTTCACGAATAAGTTTATATATATATGTCGCACCTTTGTATGAGTCACACTTTGTAAGGTCCGCACAGAGAAACCGCAGCTGCCAACCTTAGCCGCCATGCTTCCAACTGCCAGAAGAGTGGGCCGCTGGCAGGTACCCTGCCAGTCCTTCTTTGTCGTAAATGTTGATACGGCGTACATCATGCAGTTAAGGTTCAGACTCGTGTTAAAAAGAAAGCATAAAGGCTGTACCGTTGTATTAGACGCACTTGCGAAAATTTCATAGAAATGTGTAACCTATTCACGACTCCAGGAACCTATAGGGGTCGCCACTCGTGACAAATACGGCGGCCGAAAACAGGTTGTGCTGTCCCACGCGTCTGCTCAACGTACAAGGTTCGGGTTTAAGCGGGCAAGCATCAGCTTCAAAATGGTTTTGCCCCGATTATTATCTACCACGTTCGAAACCCGCGGCAGTGTGTTGTCACAAGTGAGCTTCTAGAGGCTTAGCCTTCTTCGAGAAAGCAATGGAAAGACTACCTACTGTCCTTTTACTGCGCTGACAAACGTTGGTAAATGCACAAAGTCTGGTTTGTGTATTTGAGAAGGTTGCATTCAAAGCGACCTAAATAATGCATCAATACAACAGTAATGACAGAGTCACTCGGACAGCTGCTCGCTTTGCACAGCCCGAGAAGCAAGGTGCGCCTAATTGGTTAGGCCATTACGAGTCGAGTTTTAACGTGCGACCCTTTCGTGGCTGTGGACGCAACCAAGGCAACTTCCCTCACTCTGCTTCAGTAGCCATTGTGCCAACTGCCGGCAACGGGCAGCGATGGAAGCCACGAGGGACGAGAAGAAATTGCAAAAGTACCTTCCGGCCAGTTTAACGTTTTCCCACTAGGTGCTGTCCGCTTTGCAGGAGTAACGAATACGTTATAAAATATGGATGTTCCTCGTAAACGGTAGCTTTCTTTTACAGCAGGCACAATGACTGCATTGAATAAAAGAATAAAGCTAAAAAGGCCAGGTGCTGGCCTTGCAAGCAATCATTTATTGCTTCTACGCATGTGTGTGCCGTGATCTGGACACCCCTGGACCACCTGTGTCTGCCTCCATGCCCCACCGTTCCGAAGTGGCCAGAATGCATGTCAACTATTTCTTCTAAAGGATGCTTCAAGGTGCAAAAAAATCACTCGTAAGTACTGATATAAAACGTGAAACAAACGTAAGCAAAATATTGGGTTATCACTGTGCACAAAAAGAAATGGAAGCAGATTGTCTGGCTGACGCAGCTGCTCACAGGCGGCACCACGCAGAAGAAAAACTTGAAAGCCTCTTCAAGATGAACACCCGAAAGCAGGTTTACAAGATTTAAGTGTGTATGGTATTTATCTGCAAGTAGCGGCGCCGACCACGCGGTTTCCTTTCGTTTTTTTGTTTGCCCCATGCATTTTTCTCCATTTTACTCCAGAAACCCATACTCACGAAATTCGAGCGTGGTAAAAGCCCTGCCTAGAGGCACTCCTGTGAAAAGTTTCACTGCACTCCACCCGCCGGCTTATTTATACGTCTCTCTTCACGCGTGAGTGGCGCTCGAGAAGGCACTGTAGACGCGTTCTCTGATCCCTGCAGTTGACACTGACCTGTGCCTGCCCTCCCTCCACTTGTGCATTTTTTTCTGGTGTCTGCTCAGGAAATCCTGGGAGGAGAAGAGGCTGCCGCATTCCACGCACCGGAAGGTCCCACATGCTGCCTGAGAGACGTCCAGATCTGCCGCGGGAGAAAGCGGGCGACAGGGGCACTGGAATTAACGGTTATTAAATGCAGAATGTTGCAAAGGACGAGAGCGTGTGGAGGGAGGGGACAGGACGACTGCTACTGTGGTCAACATCCAAGTTAAGAATGTGCCAGAAGCTCTGCCTCCGTTGCAAGCTTTCTACCTTTAGTAACAATTCGGGTTCTCGTAAGCCAGTGAACGCATGCTGGGGGTGGAGCTTCTATACCATATTCTCAACTTGTACCCGGCAATAGCAATCGACGCTTTAATGCAAACAATAAGGACAAGGAAGTGAGGGTGAAGATTTAGACTGTATGAAATGGCATACATGGTTACATTCAAATTTAAATTACATACACTTTATGAAATTATGACAAAGATCAGGTCTGCTGGCAACCCAGTACACCCCGCCCGTCCCCCCCCCTCCCCATCGCTCATGATGAAAAATAAACAATGCTTCGGCTTACATTTTTATAGAAACAAAGACAGCAATGCAAGGTGAATTTCACACTATTCTTACGTAATTATGATATATATTATCACATAAATTTAGGTGTTATGACTGATGTCACCACTAGTAGCAACCGATGCTTGAACATAAAAAAAATGAGGAATGAGGAGTTTTTCACTATTTCTGTGTAATAATGTTTGCTCAACTAGTATTTTAGCATTTATGAGCTGGCCAAGGAAAAGCCCATTTTGCAGGGGCAGTAATTTCTGCCGTTGCACGACAGAGATGCTGAAAAAAGTGCCGTCGCTTCACTTCATGAGACATTTGTGAAAGTTGCACTATGTAAAATTATATTCCCATGAATTCTTTATGTGCATGCGGCTTCCTTAGGGTGATAACATCAAATCATTTTGCGACAGATTATTTTTTTTTTTGCTTACATTATTTAGAAAGGTATCTCTGTGCTTGGGCTTACAGCTTTGACCAGCCCAACGATGTCATGGTGATTCACCATACTCCTTGGTATTTTCGCTATTAGTATTATGTACTACCAAGTGCGGCACCATCATAACAATATTAAGGCTTCCAAGATTTTTTCATTTCCTGCAAACAAACGCAATGCGAGCACAATTTGTTGTATACCAGCCACCATATAAATATACATATTGGGTAGAATGTAAACATTATGGAAGAATGCAAGAGCACCTAAAGTTTTGTGATAAATCCACAACTCCTTAGCAGCTCCTATGCTGGGAGGATGTGCACTACTCATGGTACAAAGAGTATGCAGTAGAATCATTTTTTTTATATACTACACTATGTAATATCCCATAAGGTGCCCCACCTCCAAAAGTTCAAATTAACTGTTGGGCTATGTGGTTAAACATCTTAATTACAAAAGCGCAAAGGACAAGGACAGGACTTAGAATGAACAGGACAAGCGCTTACTAACAACTGATTGTTTAATGCAAGAAAGACAAAAACGAGAGAAAAACTACTAAATTACAATGCCAATTTTAATTTAAATAAAATTAAAATGTCAATCTGGGCGCTGCGTGAATGTACGACTACGAGAGCATGATCTTTCCCTACATGCTTCACCGTCGGGACACTTGGCCATACATGTCAGAGACAGTAGATGCACTCCTCTATTCAATCAAACGAAAGTACTCTATCGCTTTCAGAGCAAGAGAGCCAGAGAAATTTCGGAGGCAAAAACTATAATAGAAAAAGGAGACATGGGCATTAGCACACCATCAATTTCACTGTCCGAGAAAAAAATAGGGTACCTCCACCTTTTTTCTTAATCTGGCTGCTTTTCTTTTTATTTTTGTATCCGTCCCCTTTTTTCAATTTAAGTTTTTTAATTTTTTATCAAATAATTTTTAAACATTTTTTGTGCAAATGCCATTGGCATTTTAATTTAGTAGTTCTCCTCTCATTTTTGTCTTTCTTGCATTAAACAATCAGTTGTTATTAAGCACTTGTCCTATTCATTCTTTGTCCTGTCCTTGTCCTTTGCCCAAAAGTTAGCCCATCCTTAATTTTTAAATGAGTTTATATTTCTTTTTCATAAACATTGAAAGATGGCTCACTTCTAGTAAGAGCAGTGCCCTAGATAATGGTGACTGGCTCAAGAACTATGGCAGGAGGTAAGCAAACTTTGCTGGCTAATGGGTACAGTTGTCTATGCTCCATTGCCCCTCAATGTGAAAACAGGTTTGGCAAGTCATAAAATACAAATTTTTTTTTAGTTATTTAATTTTTTATTTTTTCCGATTTGCTCTTATAGGTGCTGTCTCTTGGGATATTACAGTAGTTGTCAACTTGCACAGGAACAGCATTACATCTACAGGTAACCACAAATTAATCAACCACAAAACATTTTTTTTTTTTTCACAAAATTGAGTATGTTGCAACAGACTTTTAAGGAGCATTATTATATTCTGTAATAGTAAATACCAGTCACTAGAACATGCCCCAATTCAGAAAAAACAGTTCCCTCATGGTCGGTTTGGGTGCGGAGTGCCTGAAGTACACAATCCCAATGTGAATTGCTGCACATTGGTCTCTTGTCTGTCCTGAAATCAAAACAAGAGAAAGTGGTTAAAAAACATACAACTATAGGACAGACATGTGTTCAAGATGCCAGCAAGCAAAATCAGACAAAATGTTTGTTTAAGGAAACAAAGTACTTTTGTTTACTTCAGTTATTTGTTGCACACAGCATGTCTATGCGCAGCCTCAGTAATGAAATTATCACGACCAAAATTAATGCCACTGGTGTTTGTATTGTATCCAAGGAATCGCAAGAGTTTTGCACAGCAGTACAGAAAGCTTACAAAAGCTTGATTTATATCAGTTAATGTATATAAGTGTGATAATATTCTGGAAAAAGAAATTCGTGAGGATTAGGTTCCTCCGTCATCTTCGACAGCTTATATTTTTTTTTGTGTTGTGCAAATGAATGCGCATGCATGTGCAATACATTGAGTGCTATTGAGAAATCTTCCTTTTCAAAGCAAACAGAAGATAACTTTGCCATAAGTAATCTGTCTGCCCAGTCAAGTTCATTGAAGGTGAAATAGGAGACATGCTGCAGCAAAGACACAAATTCTCAGCAGTAGCAAAATAAAAATTAATCCAGCCATTGGGCAATCGTGGCATTGGATGCATTATCAAAGTCACAATCCCATAATGGTAATATCACCTCACGACAGAAGGAATACTTGTTCACCAGTGCCAACTATCATCTCCTGGTTCCTTCAACATCAAGCACAGTAGCAAGCTACAAACAAAATTAATAAGACAAGAAGCTATAATGCCTCCACTGCCAAGATTTACTTTGGGAAAAAATGAATTTGTGAAGAGCACGTCACACAACTGCTCACAAACAATGAAAAAATGGACAGCGACAAATAATGCATGAAATGCAGTATTTAAGAAGGGATTGTTCAAGTTTGTTTCGAAGAGATCAAAGAGTTGTTTCAGGGAGTGAAGAACCTATATATTTTATTAATTTCACCTGGTAAAATTAGCAGGGAACTAAACTCATGTAATAGGTCACATGAGATCATTTTCCCCGCCATATTTAGCAGGGAAACTGAATTGGCGTATAGGTCGCATTACATTAATTTCCCTGCTAAATTTAGAGGAGAATGCAAGGATAGCAGATGGATGAATGGGCAAACTTTTGGGATGGGGGGCTCTGGTAAAAGGCAGCTTATGCTTTAAAAAACAAACAAAAAAACACATGCACAACCTTGCAGCACAAAAAGAGACAGCATATCTCTCTGGTACTACCTAAGCACGTCTAATTTGCTGCGGAGAAAAAAAAAAAAGTAACGCAGACATTTTTAAAAATGAGCCTCATAAATCTTGAAAGGTTTGTTCAGGTGATTTCGCTGACATGACGGGAGCAGAAGAGGAACATAATACACGAGGACACTAAAGACAGGAAAACAGAATGGTTCCTACAATTTTCAACTCTACTAATACAACTCTACTTACAATCCTGTACAATTAGATCATGGCACCCTGATGTCCATTAGAAGAACTGGATTGAAGGTAAGGCAATGACTTGACACAATCTTGAACACACCCTAATAAAGTATTCTAAAAAGTAAGCATTACTTGACCAATTCTTGTGTTAGATTTTAGGTCTGGTAATAATGTAATCTAATAAAGCCCTTTTCCTTTACACAAAATGTTTAATTTTTTTTTGTGTGTGACTTGTTCTAGAGATTCAAATTAGGTTCATCAGCCAGCTTGCCTGTGAGACTCACCACACGCACCCAAGCTAAAGAAAAGGGGTGCATGCATTTACGCACCCATCATCTACTATTGCGGACAATACGGGCTGAAACAGCTCTTCGTGCTTTGGCATACCTGCCAGCTTTTGAGAGTGCTGTGGTCCAAATTAGGAGTGGAATGCAAAGTTGAGGTGTCACACTTCAAACTATTTGACAAATAGATCGATGTCACCAGTCATATTAGCTACGCCGACGCAAGGCTTCGGAGGAACTTGAGTCATTCGGCATGTGTAACAACCTCGCTGCAGCTCTGCACGTGCAAAGAGGACGGCAGAAGTCATTGCGTTCACAGCAGCCTCTCCTCCAGATTAAACTTGTGGAGGCGTAACGTCACACACGCACCGAATGCTTGGTGAGATCAGTTTCTTGAGAAATAACAAGAGTTGTGGGGACAGCAGATACAGAAAAATCTGGGTTTTTAAGCTCATATTGTCTGTGGCAGTTGCTGAATGGAACATAATGCGAGAAACGTGAGACCACACCTGTCTGCTTACAGTATCGACGATGTACCACTTTCGGCGTGCTCAAGCTAGCTCAACAATCCGAAAACTCGAGAGTTGAGTAACGACATTGTTCACCCAGTATGCACAATGGTGGCCGCAACGCAGTGCAGCACAACGTTTTGAGATGAAAGTCGCCATGTCTAACTGCCATGCATCAATTGATAGCAGCATGGCTATTATATGCCAAAAATGTGATCGTACATAAAAACAATTTTTTTTTTTTATGTTATGATTAAATGTTTATTTTCTACCCAAATGTAGCGCTACTGGTTGGAGCCGAATGCCAAAGTTTTACAATTGTTATTTTATAAAAAAAGGTAGAAGTAATTTTCTGAGAATTTAAATGAGAAAAAGGGGCCCGCTTTTGGCCATTTTCGGCAGATGGTGCTATTCAGCTCCAAGTATTTGAGAGCACTGCTGGCTGCCATTTTACCATTGAAAAATTTGAGAAAATCATGCAATTTTTTAATGAAATAATGGTTAGTTAAGCAGCAATGGCTTATGGTTCCCCACCGCTAGGGTTACATTTCGGTGGAGAGTGGGCGTTCAGTGATGCTTAGTTCATTTCGCGGGGAAAATACCTTGAAAATATATTAGGGGACACCCTGTAGTCAATTGTTCACACACCCATACAAAAACAGTGGGTACTAGAAAAGCTCTGTTCAAGAGATTGCTGATGGTTAGTAACTGACTAGAATCTAAAGCCACCACTACAACACAGCCTCATGGTCTCTCACTTCCCTTCGTTCCCCTGACCTTCCCCATTTGTGGCAGCCTTGAGCCTCGGTATCTTCCTCTTCCCAACCTTCTCTCCCCATCTGGTCCTGTAGTCAATTGTTCACACACCCATACAAAAACAGTGGGTACTAGAAAAGCTCTGTTCAAGAGATTGCTGATGGTTAGTAACTGACTAGAATCTAAAGCCACCACTACAACACAGCCTCATGGTCTCTCACTTCCCTTCGTTCCCCTGACCTTCCCCATTTGTGGCAGCCTTGAGCCTCGGTATCTTCCTCTTCCCAACCTTCTCTCCCCATCTGGTTGTCGTTAGAGCACTATACAGCTCCTACGGAGCAGAGTAACGCAATCCTTTGATCCGCGTGTTTTTCCGACAACATGGCCGACAGAGCACCTCGGCGTGAGTCATGTGGACCTCGGGGTTCCAGGAGGCGGCCCGCCCTATGGCAGAACACATGGAGATTGACACAATACGGCTGATTAAAAAATAAATGCAGAGTTCACACGTTTCGAAACTAAACTGTCGTGAAGTTGGTGAAGCACTAAACACTTTAATAAAGTTTTCATAATATTGGACGCGTGTGAAAATTTTGAGAAGGCAATTTCCAAGGCAATGGCATTTAAAGCAGATGATTCTTTTACGCACCGGAGATGGACTTTCTGGGTTGGCTGAGGCGGGTCACGTGAACAGTGTGACGTCACCGCGCCGTCTGCTGCATGATGCCGCTCGGGCAATTTTTCAAAAACATTTACATTCTTACGTAAATGTTTTTTAAATTTACACAATTTAGCGTAAAATATTGAAAAATGTTTCTTTATTATGTCAAAAACTATTGTCCTAACATCCCCAAAATATTGCAGAAACAGCGCTTTTCTCACGTTCCCCATGCATTTGTGACCGGAGTTGGAACCTCCGGGCATTCGCCGCTAGTCGCCGAGAGATGGCGTTCTAGATTGCACTACTCTGCCCCGAAAGAGCTAGTTTTTTGCTGATGTGCCCTTCTCATTTTGTTTTGCATTTTCCTTTATCTTCTGGCATCATATTCCGACAGCCCGTGCATTCTTCTTTTCTGCTTCCCTTAGTTTTCCCATAATCTGACGAAGGGAGCGCTTGTTTCCTTTCCCCTTCTTTCTGCGGGTTTTTTTTCTTTTCTCTCACGCTTTCATAAGACATTTACAGCCAGGGAGAGTTGCACGACATTTCTTTAGGGCTTGCTGCACCTATTAGCGGCGAGATGGTTTACTGGCGCCCTAAAAGGTTCCCTCTCGTGACGTCATTACCGTGCAAACAAGAAGTTCAATGATGATTGTAATCAGCATGGTAAATTTGAAATCCCTGCACTCTAAAACCAACACCGCGAACATCAAAATTGGAGCTCTTACATAACTCTTATTCCTGTTGATGAGAAATCCCTTGCTGACGTCATAGTCAGCGTTTGGCCAATCGTAAAAGGCCAACCACAGCGACTCATTGGATCGCACCCGTCGCCAATAGACCTATCGCTTAATTACCCAAGCATCAAGAAGCATGCCGAGAACGTAGTTACTTGCGCTGCGCGTGCTGGCAGCAGCATTTTTTAAGCAAAAATCTAAAACAAGTGGCAGTTCACACGTGTGTCCAAACGCCTTTTTTTATACGATTTTTTTAAAATCTTCATTACAGGTAAGGCGAGCGAGCGCTACGCGTGTCTACCTTCCCTGCATGCTTCTTGATGTTTGGGTAATTTAGCAATAGGTCTATGCTCACGGAGAAGGTGGTAGAGGAAAATAGGAGCTTCAGTTGTCTCGCCTCTGCGCAAGCTCAGCGCGAGCTTCCGTCCTTCGACAACGCTGCGGCGTTCCTGCACCACGAGCGCGCACGCGCGGTCAAGGCACGGCAGAAGGCGGGGAGTGCGTGCTTGGAGGTGGAACGCTCTCATTCGTCACTGCTGGTTTCGGTGGTACCCGTATCCAAACTCACCTAACTGCAGTCTGAGGAAACGGATCGCCCGCAGAGAACAACAACCTCGCAGCACTGAAGCACCACAGGAGGCGGCGAGCTCGCGACAGCGGCATCTCCTGTCGTTCTGAAAAGAACTCTTCGCAGGGGAACGAAACTTAGGTGGACGTTGGTGGAAATTAAACGAAGCAAAAACATGCTCATCGCCGGTCGACGGATCACTTACCCAAACAGACGCTAGAGAGTCGAGAACAGGTCGCGGACGTGAGACGTGAGAGCACTAGTACGATTCCGAACGAAGCGCTTTCAAAGCCAGAACGGTCGCATCTGTGGTAATGAAAAAAACACTTCCAGATATCGTGGTTCAGTTGGTTCAGGAGTCTGTTCAGATTGGTTCAGATATGCTGAGATGACCGGCGTGTTGATAGACGGCCGGCACGGATCGTCGGCGCCGGGAGCGAAGTTTAAAACCAAGACCAGGGTTGTGATAAGTTTAGGGATGTGAGATGAAGTTTCAGAAAGCGAGCACCGGATATTTCTCCCGAAATAACCAAGCAGGTTCGAAGATGCAGACTCATTATCTTCAACCAAATTCTGAAAATGCAACTTTTGACCTCCATGTTGGATTGGATGCGATCTGGATTCGTACTCGAGTGCACAATGTGGTGAACCCTAGGTGCGATATTAGAATAAATGTGATGAAAACAAGTTACTTTCGTTTTCGATGCACGATTGAGGCGGTTGTTTTCAAGAGTTTTCCTAAAAACAACGTTCTTAAATGGTCATGACCAGAACAATGCGCACTTGTTGCCATGATTTCCGCTGTCCTAGCCCAGCGTTCCAGTGTGAACGAAGTGATCCATCGGAGGTTGAATGTTCAATCCGCATTTCGAACTTCAGGTTAAACGCTGGCTGGCTGGACATTCGTGGGAATTTTAGACAGCTCTTTAAAACCTGGATAGCATTAGTTGCTCCTTACAGAAAAGCAGAATTTTTTCTTGACATGCAATAAAAATTTAGCTAATTAGAATATTTAAATCTCGCACACTTCTTTACTGTTAATGCAGAGGCAGATAGCATAATGTTTCAACACTTTCTGCAGTATTTTGACAAAATCCCCCATCTCCTAATTCCTGGTTTTAACTGTGGGGGGGCATGGTGCGAGCGACCATGAGCGCATTTTCTCGAGCAATAAAGTTGGGCACCTAACTAGGTTCGACATTTACAGGTTTGTTTTAAGAGATCACGGAAGTGACGTATTGGCGTCCGATTGGTGGAGGCAACTGCCACATCCCTCCAACAATCAGATGCCAACATGTCTCTCCCGTGTCCTTTTAAGTCATACATGTAAAGGCCCGTTCAGACTTGCGACCGACTTCGACTGAGAGAGACCAGACCGGTTTTTAAGCCTTTTGCGACTTCTTAGGACCGGATGCGATGCAGCGGAGCTGGTCCTAAGAAGTCGCAAGAGGCTTAAAAACCGGTCTGGTCTCTCTCGGTCTAACTCAGTCGCAAGAGTGTGAACGGGCCTTAAATGTCCAACCTAGGCTCCCTGGCTTCCATTTGCTCCATTGAGCAGCAGTGACCTACATCAAGCTCCCGAAATCTCTCTTGTGCATCTAATGTGGCACACTTCCGCTCCCAAGTTTATACAAAGAAGCTCCTTCCCCATGTTTTCTAATGTAGCCCTTTGTTTTCTACTTTTTCTACTAAGGTATCCTCGATTGATGTTCCCGAAAGCTGGCACCCATTCTTTTGTGGCAGTGTGCAACAGCCTATACTGGGACACAAGGGACGGTAGACAGAGGGTATAGTGGAGCTTAGTAATCTACAGGATAGCCTATTTTCTTTATTGGTGTAGTTAAAGGAGCTGTGCAGCGATTTTAACGTTGAAAGAATTTGCATCTTCTACTTTTAACATTGTTTATCTTGTCACAAAGGACAGAAAACACATCTTTCTTTGAAATGGTGCGATTCCGCCGCCTAATCGCGAGGCAAAAATTAGAATATTTACTGACCTGCAGCCGCGAGCGTCGGCCATGAGAACCATGTAACGTGACATCAAAGGGGCTTGTAAAAAGATGGAAAGTTATGGAAATACCAGCTCGATAAAAGGTAATTTGTGTTGTAAATCTTGTCGTTCCAATATAAATATAAATGCGTCAAAAACCTGGTATCATTGACAAAACCTTTATTATATGGAGTTTTAGTAACACCATCTATCCAAGGTCAACCAAACCGTCAGCTCTGTCTGCTACCGCGAACAGCCCGAGGGGGACGGGGGAGAGCCAGACGGGGATGGCCGGACCCGGACAAGCACGTTGGCACTTTCCTCCTTTCGCCACGTGGATTGCACTGGGCAAGCACGTGGTTGCAAGCGAGCGAGTTCTCGCTGCTCACTGATGGCTCTGGAGAGAGAGTGTCATGAGAACCCAGCACGCCCTCCTTTTCTGGGCACAGCGCATGTGACTCTGAAGATGATGAAGGAGCTGAGAGGTGCCGAAAACCTCTATCTTTGTTTATTTTAAAATAAAAACTAGGACATGCAGGTTAAAGCGTTTTTTTGTTCTTTACTTCAGAAAGGTCAAGACACCAACTCCCAAATTATTTAAGCAAAGCACTGAAATTGTTACACAGCTCCTTTAATAAAAAAGAATATAGAAGGGGTTGATATGCTGCTCTTGTACTATGTAGAGAAGCAAACAACATAAAATCGCATTTTCTAATTACCATGGAACCACTTGGTATGTCTTAAAAAATGCTAGATTCATGAGCCATCATTGCGGAAACGTTTATGAATCGAGTTGCGGCTGACAATGAGAATGTCGACGAGCTTCAGACGTCCCGCCTCCAGTGCGAGATTCTTGCCTTCGATAATGATCTTGCGTCTCGTGCGCCTTGAGTGCGTATACACAGTCAAGGCACAATGAAAAATAGCAAACGAAAATTGGACTGTCTGCTACGAACCGAATATCACAACAAAGTGGTACCGGATGCGGGCTAAAACTGTGATCGTCCGGTATTTCATGAAGGGGGATTGACAGCCTGTGCTTCCTTTGCCAATGTAAAGTTGTTCCGCCGTTATACGTGAGCTATTGTCGACCAGTGGATGAAGCACACCTGGGACGAGCACGTCAGAGGCCACGAGACTTCTCCGACTATTCATGTTCAAGTTCTCACCAAAGAAACTGTTCAGACCGGTAAAATTGTTTCATTGGTTAGCAGTGTGCGGCCTACGGAAAGCTACAGTTCCACATTCCATGGGTGGTCAAGAAATCTCCCTTTTTCACTGCGAGACCAAACGTGGACCTCCCGGTGCCCTTTTGGCTGCAGACGGGTCGACCTCTCAAGCGCCAGCCAATGAGCATTTCGAATAAACACCGGTACATACAGAGATTGAGTACCAGAAGATGCTCTTTTCTGTCGCCGAATAGTCTGGCAGGTGCGGTCGATCGCAACACGAAAGAACTTTAGCGAGCTGGAAAACACTGCCCCACCTCTGCGCACAGAATTACGTAGGGCAAAAAAGTTATCAAAGCATCCATTGAGATTCCGAGCCAGATGTATTTCACGTAAAACCGCCCTATAGTAGTACTGGAATCAAGGCGACCAGCACATGCTCACAGTGCAGGCAGGTTGTTCAGCTTGCACAGCTGAAACACACAGTGACACAAGGAGCCCTAGTACAACATTCGCTTACAAGTGAACCAAAACATACTACCGTAATATACCGCAGAAGGACCCACTTCGCACCAAGCGCCTACTATTAACATTTCTTAAATTTGGGAATTTCGCAAGTTATACGTTCACCGCCCGTTTTGACCAGAGAGGCACCCCGTGTCCAGATTAACCCAGTTTTCAGTGGAAATGGGGTGGGCATTCCTCCGGTATTTTTACGGTATATTTATGCTTAGAAGCTTCTCAGGATTGTTAAACAGTGCCAGGCAAGTCGAGCTTGTTTTTAACACTGAAAGAGGTCACAACCCCAACGGACAATCCAAAACACAGAAAATAGGGAAACCCACAGGATGCAATTACTTTTATTAATTTAAAGTTTGGTTGTCCCCATACCTGCATTGGGGAACTATACAGAACGTACTCCAACATGCATTGCATTTACAAGTCTGCTTCAATAAATATGATGCAACTGTCCTCATCCCAAATGTGGAATGGGAAAGACATACCTAGGACTAGGAGAGGTCACACCAGGCAGAAACTGATGTTCCACTCAGAAATTCATACAAGTGTCACAGTAAGGATGCAAGTGCAAGACGTCTTGGGCATCGGTTGAGCCACGCATTATACAGTCTTTCTGCGAAAGCTTTCAAAAATCCCTGAAAACTTCTACCAGCCTTGGCGGACGTCAAAGAAAGCGAAAACATTAATTGGCGAGATAATTAACTAAAATGTACTAATTGATTTTTCAATTAGTGAAAATAAACATGGTTTCACCGATAAACTTGCCAAGCATCATCGAAAGCCACTAAATCAACTCATCTTAGGAAGATACAAGGCGGGGACAGCATTTTTCGACATTTCATATAAACGCTCAATTTCGACGGGTTTGTAGGTTTCGTTTTCTTTTTCAGAGCGTGACTCTGCACCTGCATCCTGCTCAGGGGCAGATCCAAGGGGGAAGGGGGGGGGGGGGCCGCCCCCCCTTCCCCCCCCCCCTCTTTTCCCCCCTTCTCGGAGGGGAATTTGACATGGTCAACACGAAAGAATGGGAGAATAGCATCCTTACAAATTTTCCGCCTCCCTCAAAACGAAGTTCTCAATCTGCCCCTGATCCTGCTTCCCAGTGGCAGAGACGTGCAATACACGTGCGCCATACCTCTTTCCATCTTACGAAGAAGGTGAGGCGGTGGCTTTGAACTAAGCCACCAGGGTGCTGGACCGCGGGTGCAAAGATGCGCTCCAACGAGACATCGAAACCTAGAGATGCGTCCAAACTGAGTTTTTTCAAACCACCATAAAATGACGCCCTTGCCTTATATCTTTCTACACAATAAAGTTGATTCAGTAGCTTTCGATGATGCTTAGCAAGTTCCTCAGTGAAACCATAAATTTATTTTTGCTAATACAAAAAAAGTGAATTTTAGTTAAATATTTTGCCAATTAATATGACTGCAATCCTTGATGCCTGCCAAGGCTGGTAGTTTGTTCCCCTCAAAGAGTTTATTTTATCTCGAAGAGCACGTTTTTAGAAATTTCTGAAAGCTTTTGCAGAAACACCTCGTACGAGCCATTCAAAGACCAGGCGAGCATCGTACCGGCGTGCGGTCGTGTATCACTACTGCGTGGTGCATGCTAAAGACCCCAGAGGCTAACAGTTGTGCTGCACTGGCTAAATTGCTTGTCTACAGCCGAGAGACAAGTTGCCCGTTGAGGCAGACTAACTTCAAGGCTGCATAAGCATACCCACGACTAATATAACTGGGGAGCAGGAGCTGATCGCTCCAATCACATTTGGCTGAATGATGCTCGAGTTCCTAACACGGCAGTGTTACCACACTGCTTGGGCCTCGAAGGCTATGCGACGAAGTCATTGTTGGTGAGAGGCAAAGTCGTCGGTAGGAGCTCTGCCTCAAGGACAAGTGCTCGTTGCCTTACGCCTGGCTTTGACTGCTCCTGCGACGGAGCCTTATCAAAGGCAGAAAGCTTGCATTGTAGGCGGAGCATCCGCTGCATTTTTAACCTGTCGCCGACTATGAACCTTAAAGGGCCACTGAAGAGAAAAGAAATGTTTTTTTTAAACAGCCTGGTTGGGACACAAAAATCAAAAGATAATACTTACGCAAAAAAAAAAAAAAAATTTTTTTTAGAGCAATATTGACGGCGCGAGACGCGATTTAGTTGGTAGTCACCTCCTTTACACTT